CTGAAGGTTGTAACCCAGCAGTAGAGTTTTAAAATAAAACTAAATAATTAAAAGCATCAAACGTATCTTATTCTACATAAATGGAAAGTGTGTATTTACAGTACTTTCCTTGGGACTAGTTTTCAACAGAACTGTATAGTCTGAAAATGGATATCTTTCAGACTTTCTGTGAGTTTCCCACAGCTCTGATAGATATAAATCCAGCATAGAGAACAGGATATTGTATTTCAGCTTCTTGAGAGATAAAAGAGGGCTGATGACTAATACTGGAAAGAATTGTTAAAAGGTGTGTTTACTTCTAGTTGAGTCTGCTTGTTTAATATCTGTCCCAATTAATTCACTTTTGTTGTGACAAAATTCATTTTTGTTGTGATATTGAAAAAACCTGCACGCTTTTCTTATAATTATGACCATATTCCCCTTTGGAAGTGTTGTTTAAATATCCATAGCATTGCTTCAGACTCAAAATGTTCATTGTTTTGAACCCTCAAGTATAATCAAATGAGATGTGCTTTACTGATATTCTAGGAAGTTGTGACATATGGTCTACATTCTTTTTCGTATTAATTTATACAAAATGACTGATTTAACAGATGCCTGAGTCATCTCACTAGAAATACTTGAAGAAAAATGTATAGTTGTTACTACTATTTGTTTTTTGTATCCTAGTAGCACCCAAAGGCCTCTATCAAATATCAAGTACCTGTTATACAAATAGATATGGTATGAGAGGAAAAACAAATTAACCCTCCCCACCAAGCAAAATGCAGGACAATGTAGCACTTTAAAGACTAACAAGATGGTTTATTAGATGATGAGCTTTCGTGGGCCAGACCCACTTCCTCAGATCAAATAGTGGAAGAAAGTAGTCACAACCATATATACCAAAGGATACAATTTAAAAAAATGAACAAATATGAAAAGGACAAATCACATTGCAGAACAGAAGGGGGATGCGGGGGGGTGGGAAGGGGGAGGAAGGAAGGTAAGTGTCTGTGAATTGCTGATATTAAAGGTAGGGAGAGTGGGATGTTTGTGAGTTAATGGTATTACAGGTGATAATTGGGGAAACTGTCTTGGTAATGGGTGAGAAAGTTCAAAGACTTGTTAAGTCCTTGTTGGTAAGTGTCGAATTTTAACATGAATGACAGTTCAGAGGATTCCCTTTCAAGTGCAGATGTAAAAGGTCTTTGTAGCAGAATGCAGGTGGCTAAGTCATTTAGAGAGTGTCCTTTCTGGTTAAAGTGGCAAGAAACTGTTTTCTCTTTGTGATCTTGTCTGATATCTGTTTTGTGGGCATTAATCCTTTGGCGAAGTGTCTGAGATGTTTGTCCAATGTACATAGCAGACGGACACTTTCGGCACATGATAGCGTAGATTATATTTCTGGATGCGCAGGAATATGTGTTCTTGATCTTATAACTCACTTGGTTAGGTCCAATAATGGTATCAGCAGAATGAATATGTGGACAAAGCTGGCAACGGGGTTTGTTGCAAGGGAAGGTACCAGGGTTGGTATTAGTGTGGTATGTCCTGTGGTGGTTGGTAAGAATCATCTTGAGGTTAGGTGGTTGTCTATAGGAGACTATGGGTCTGTCTCCCAGAGCCTCTTTGAGTATGGTATCCTGTTCCAATATAGGCTGTAGTTTATTGATAATGTGTTGGACAGGTTTAAGTTGGGGGTTGTAGGTGATGACAAGTGGTGTTCTATTGTTGGTTTTCTTGGGTCTGTCTTGAAGTAGATGGTTTCTAGGTATTCGTCTGGCTCTTTCAATTTGCTTTTTTGTTTCTCTGGGTGGGTAGTTGAGATTTATAAATGCTTGGTAGAGATCCTGAAGCTTCTGGTCTCTGTCAGTGGGGTTAGAGCAGATGCGGTTGTATCGAAGGGCTTGGCTATAGACGATGGATCGTGTGGTGTGTTCTGGATGGGAGCTGGATGCATGTAGGTAACTGTATGAGTCAGTGGGTTTTCTGTAGAGAGTGGTGTCTAATTTTCCATTGTTGATTTGTACGGTGGTGTCCAGGAAGTGGATCTCTCGTGTAGAATGGTCCAGGCTGAGGTTGATGGTGGGGTGTAGGTTGTTGAAATCTCTGTGGAATATCTCCAGTGTTTCTTGGCCATGTGTCCAGATCATAAAGATGTCATCGATGTACCGTAGGTAGAGGAGGGGTGAAAGGGGACGGGAGTTGAGGAAACGTTGTTCTAGGTCAGCCATAAAGATGTTAGCATACTGTGGGGCCATGCGTGTACCCATGGCTGTGCCGCTGATCTGGAGGTATAAGTTGTTCTCAAACCGGAAATAATTGTGGGTGAGAACAAAGTTACATAGGTCTGCTATCAGGTTGGCAGTAGTGTCCTCTGGGATAGTGTTTCTAATTGCTTGTAATCCGTCTTCATGTGGGATGTTGGTATATAGAGCTTCTACATCCATGGTGGCAAGGATGGTATTATTGGGGAGGTTATCGATGTTTTGTAGTTTCCTTAGGAAGTCAGTGGTGTCTCGGAGATAGCTGGGGGTATTGGTTACGAAGGGTTTGAGAAGAGTGTCTACATAGCTGGATAGACCAGTAGTGAGCGTGCCAATACCAGAGATGATGGGACGTCCGGGGTGCCCAGGTTTATGGATCTTGGGAAGTAGATAGAACAATCCTGGTCGGGGGTCAGAAGGTGATTCTGTGAGGATTTGTTCCCGAGTAGCTGTGGGGAGGCTTTTAAGGAGACAGTGTAGTTTCTTTTGGTAGTCCAAGGTGGGATCAGAGGGGAGAGGTTTGTAAAATGTGGTGTTCGAGAGTTGTCTGGTTGCCTCCTGGTTATAGTCAGCCTTATTCATAATGACCACAGCACCCCCTTTGTCAGCTGGTTTGATTATAATGTCCAGGTTGTTTTTGAGACTCTGGATGGCATGGTGTTCAGCGCGGCTGAGATTGTGTGTTGCTTGTTGTCGTTTGCGAATAATGTCAATCTGTGCGTTGTTGCAGAAGCTTTGTATATAGAAATCCAGATTGTAATTCCGACCGTCAGGGGGAGCCCATATAGAATTATTTTTCCTTTTGTGTTGATGGGGGGATCTGGTAGGTCAGATTGATGTTCATTGGTGGTTTGGAAATATTCTCGGAGGCGGAGGCGGCAAAAAAAAGCTTCAAGGTCACCACAAAATTGTATCCAGTTTGTGGGGGATGTGGGGCAGAAAGAGAGTCCCCGGGACAAGACAGACTCTTCTGCTGGATTGAGTTTGTAGCTGGAGAGGTTAACAATATTATCCGGTGGGTTGAGGTAGTTGCTTTTGTATCCTGTGGTGTGGAGCAGTATTTGATCTGAGGAAGTGGGTCTGGCCCACGAAAGGTCATCACCTAATAAACCATGTTGTTAGTCTTTAAAGTGCTACATAGTCCTGTATTTTGTTTCAGCTACACCAGGCTAACACGGCTACATTTCTATCAATTTGAGAGTGAGTCTGTCTGTTCGGGAACCCTGAAACAATTAGAGCTAGGAACACCACCAAACTTCCCAACTCTCTGCCCTGATTCCGACACCCCCCTGCCTTGAGCTCACCACAACCCCACGTCCGTGCCCTGACTCCTGCCCCATCCCACCCCCAGCAGTCCAGAACAGACTTTCGTTAATGGAGAGTCCATCTGGTCAGAGTAGTGAAGGCTCCCTCCGCTCTAAAGATGACACACTTCTGGTCCTAAGCTTCTTAGTGCAAGAAAAGCAGAACTCCCCAAGCTATTGAAAGGTTTTGTTCTTAAGGGCCATGGGAGCAGTATGGAACACATTTCAACATTAATCAGCTGATGATCATGCCTCACTCTTAGCAGCTTCTTTTGCAACCTTCCAATCACTTTTGAACTGACCAAGTGTCAGTAGTTCCCCAAAGAATTAAGCCAGTAAAATTGGTAATGTTTGAAAACATTGCCTTGAGAAAATGAATAATAAAAATTTGTGTAAAACTTACCACTGCTTCAAACACTGAGAGGAAGTGAAAAGGCTAGAGAAATTATCTATTTAGATGAACAGAATTAAGGGCTTTTCTCTGCTCTCTCTTGCCTGTACTACTATTCTACCATTTATGGTAACTCTCAAGTATTCCATTATACAGTTTTTGTTGGAAAGAATGGCATACAAAATAGTCAGATCTACGGTAGGCTTTTTATGGGGAAAAATTACAGTAGTAGAGAAATTATAGTAGCTGAGTGGAATAACTCTGATCGGGTGGGCCCTCAGTTGCCTTAGAATAGTCTGGACAGCAGCCAGTTGGTTGACCTTTTAGAAGGAAAAACAAAACACAAAACCATATTTTGTTGCCTGGTTATTTTCTTAAGTTTGATGATGGATTTGAGGTTTTATCAGATTGCTACCTCTCTATACTATTCTTGCATAGTCATCTGTAATATTGCTTTTTGTATGTTCCGCTGTGGTCTCCAAGGGTGCGTCTACACTGCACTCATAGCTCAAAAAAAGCTATGCAAATTGCGTAGCTTATTTCGAGTCAATTTCAAAATAGCTTATTTTGAAATTTGGAACTGTCTACACAGCACTTATTTCAAAATAAATTGCTATTCTGAAATGTCCCTTACACCTTGTGGAATGAAGTTTACAGAGACATTGGAATAGTGAGCCCGTGATATTTCAAAATAATCAGCGTGCTCAAAGGACACAGAATAGCTATTTTGGGATACCTTCGGTATCCTGGAATGGTGCTGCAGTGTAGACGTAGCCCAAGGATATTTGTGGTTCTGTGCAAGCCCTGCTTTGGAATGTTGTATTAGAAACTCAAATTTCAGTGTGGACAATAGAGCAGAAGAATATTTGCAGTTTAGGTTGCAGATTAAATTCCTCTCTGTTTCAGAGTTCAAGTGAACTCATGTGCCATGAACAGCAAAGTGGGGCTAAGAGTGTTGTGTTTTGTATGACACATGAAAGTAGTTTATAGAGTGAACTCTAAGAGTCCCTTTAAGTTGTTAAAATAAGGCTTTGTATTTATGCATTTTTGGTCTAGACACAGAAAGGATAGGGCTGGAGGCAGGAAACGGATTGCCATCTTGGAAATTTAATGATCAGCTCTTTCCTTGTGATGTGTGTGGAAAAGTGTTTGGTCGACAGCAGACATTGTCCCGACATCTCTCACTGCACACAGGTAAATCACACACTTTGACATTCTCATGTACAATGTCATGCTAGATTGTAACAAAAAAAACATGAGGGAAGTTTCACTGCAGGGAAACATAATATTGTAGAAAGAGCCATCCTCTGTTTCCTTCACTTGAGGTGAAGACAGGCAGTCAGATGGGAATTTGTCCAATTGCCTGGTTCTGACAATATCAGACAACCTTTTGGTCACTGCCAATTAAGCAAGCCTGTGAACAGGGCTCTAATGAGAGGAGGAAAATTGTAATTTGCTTTGTTTTTTGTCTGACAGGCTCTTTAAACATCAATGACCAGCTGAGGAGCCACCCCATAATGTTTGAAATATTAGTCCCTTGGATGTTCAACATGAACTTTTAGCTCCAGAGAAAAGAGTAGAGGATGACTCTCTCTTTTTTTTTTCGACATCCTTTTCCATAAAATCAGTGGAACTAGCTCTAGTAAAATCAGCTGAGGATCTGACTCTATGCCCGGTAGTTCTATACAGAGGATTTGTCTAATCAGAGGTGGTAGTCCGTGTATGGGGCATATGTTTTTGGAAGAATACCCCAAACTCAGGCCAAAGGACAAATGTGTTGCGATGCAAGAATGTCAGACATAGTTCGGAAATATTAGCATAATGCTGGTACAGATAGTATCACTTAGTGTGGCCATGCTAGAAAAGTCTCAAATGGTGTTTTCTGAGATTTTTGTCTTAAAGATTCTGAATTTCTCTCTGTTAACCCTGGTACAATGTATTATTCTATTCCAAAAGCAGTGAAACAGCTCTTCTGAAAGAGGAAAGGCTTTAAAAGCAATTTAATATTTAGTTGTTTTTAAAAACTCCAGTAAATACAAAATAAGACCTGCTGTGTGCCATGACTTCGTTGCCAATATTGAGATAAAAAAATCAGTTAGCTTTTTTTATTTGTAAAAATTGTGAGGCATCGGAAACTGCTGAAGAATTTGGTTTGGATTGCATTTTATTGTTTTTCGAGATGTTTTGACTTTCTTCTGTTCAGAACTTGACTACCTGTGCAGACTTTTTTCCAAGTTTTGGTACATAAGCATCAAACACTATAGTTAGAAAGACAGATAACATACTCACACAGTCATCTGTAGGAACTTCAACTCTGCTGAAAAAAATAGTGCTAGGTGAAGAAACTCATTGCACATTACTGACCTAAATCTATAATGGCCATGGGGGAATTACACCACTATTCGACAGCATAAAAAGTTTTGTAATAACATCATACAATCTTTATACCAAATTTCAAAAACCCTCTTAAGTAATCTGAAATCGGGTTAGCTTTATATAAATTATTATTGTGAACCTTGATAACTTTTTGAAATTTTCTAACCTCCAAAACATGTCAACCTGGGTGATTCCAAAAGCTACTCAGACTTTGTAACCCAAGGCACTAAGTATTTGCAGATTTGAAATGAGGTTCTTTCTTAAGACTGATACACATATTCAAGATTATTTTTTGTTTTTCAGAAGAGAGAAAATATAAATGCCATTTGTGCCCCTATGCTGCTAAGTGCCGTGCTAATCTGAACCAGCACCTGACTGTCCATTCTGTGAAGTTGGTGAGTACAGACACTGAGGACATTGTCAGCGCTGTCACTTCTGAAGGCAGTGGAAAGAAGCACTCTTACTATTACAGGTGAGGACCGTAGAAGGCTGTACATGAGACCAGAATCCAAATGCCTTATCTGTCTGTCTGCTTGCTAAAGACAAACTATGCGGATGATCCTTTTTTGTTTGAAAGTAGAATGTGACTGAAATATTTTCTCTTGGTTAATTCTAGGTTCAGCAACAAAACCCAGAATGCTTCCAGACTTTGCTAGGCACTTTGAAAAACTGTGCACTTTTTAAATGGCTTTAAAAGGCAGACAAGCCCTTAAACACCTCGTGAACTTTTACCACAAGTACAACATACATCTAATAAGTTCCCTTTTGTGTATGAGAGGTTACTAGCATGTACACGTCTGATAATTGATAGGGCCTTCCATTTGACTCAGTTAGCTCAGTCATTTCAATCAAAATGCATGTAATAAATACACAAATTTCATCTATTTTATTACTCTCTTTGATTGCCTTGGGCAGATAGGTCTTATAATTCAACTACCTATGAAACAATGTTTCCATATAAATAAGGCCAAAATAATGAAGGTGAGAACGGGAGCATTCAGAAAGCTCTTGATGATAAAAGAATGGTACAGACAACAATTGTGTTGGGCAGGCATTTTTATTGATATAAACACTATAACATTTTCTTCTAGCATTGATGTGAATCCTAGTGTCCATATAGACTACAAGATCACTCTTATTTCAATCTAAGTGATAGCAACAGATTTAATTAGACAGAGAAATCAGAAATACACAAGCCATGTTAGATTATCTTGTCCATCCCTTTGCAAGTGCAAGCCTGTTTTCAGTGTTCTTGCTTTGTTTTAAATGTCAGTGCTTTAATTAAAACAAAAGGAAGATAGTATAAAGAAAGTTAAACTATAAGTTCCTATTACCTCTGAACATAATTTTTAAAAAATCTGCTAGTTGAGAAATTTGAATCAGCGCTGATTATGTGCATGGTGGTAATTGCCTGTGTCCAGTCAAGCAGAAGGAATCCCTGAACCCATTTTTGCTTGATAGTATTCAGAAAGCCAGGCAGTTCTGCAGGAGATCCTGATTTAACATGGGACTGTTTCCTGAGCTTGAAAATGGCTCCTGGAGTGTGCAGTTTGTCAGTGTACCAGCTCTCTTAAACATCTTGGCAAGACTGCAGCACATCTTATTGCCCAAAGGATTCAGTTAGGTGATGTGCAGCATCTGGAATGTGTAGTTGTTAATTAATTTTATGATTATTTAGCATCATTATAGCATGTTTGGGATTGTTGCATTGGGCCTCCCTTTAATCAGGTTGGCATGGCCATCGGTTTAGAGGCAGCTCACCAGGCAAAAGAATTTTCCATTGAAAATTCAACAGTACAGAAGAGAAGAAATTAGTGATGCAAAAATTTTCTTATGAAAATAAGTAGAAGGTTTGTACATTTGCTCAGTGATTTTTTTTAATGTTCCTTATTCTCTCTCTAATTCCCTTCTGTCTGCAGCTGTCATGTATGTGGATTTGAGACTGAGATGAATGTCCAGTTTGTCAGTCATATGTCCCTTCATGTGGATAAAGAGCAGTGGATGTTTTCTATTTGCTGTACAGCCTGTGATTTTGTCACCATGGAAGAATCAGATATGAAGGCTCATGTCAGCACCAAGCACACAGGTGATGCTCCAACATTTTCTGCTCCTGTGATCTCTCTTCTCCCTACCCCCATTTTTCAGTGCAATCATTCACACTTCATATCAGCAGTCCTGTCCTCCCCTGAAATTCTTACTAATTATGGTCATGATCCCACAGTGTTGAAGTTACCTCACGCCTCCCAGGTAAGAAGTCTGCTTGGGAATATTACCTTGCAGTCAGGGTACATAAATAAAGGACTATTATGAAGTTAAAATTGTCAAAATTGCAAGTTATTGTTTTCTTTATTATTTAGATTTCTTTACTTTTGATTTCTGGGTGTTAACTACATGCCCTGGTTTGCAAGTGTATAATAAACTAGAACTGTACTAAGCTGAGACAATACGTGGATTTTGTTTCCTTCCCACAGTCTCTCTGCCTGGAAAACTTTGTTGCTATTTAGCTAGAACTCTGATTCAGTAACTAAATTAATGTGGCTGTTGTTTTACTGTCCCAACATCATATTAAATAGTTGAATAGGTCATGATTTTTAGCTTCTGTGTTTCTCTGGTTTTATTCAGCTATCAGCAAAAGAAAGAACTGTACATTACCTCTGATTAATGGTAATTTTCAAATCACACATATTTATTCCAAGTAATGAAGCCTGGCATCATGTAAGGAGAGGAAAATTAGAATACTCTTAATTTCTCTCTCAGTCACTAGTCATAAAGATTTTTTCATCAGACACTAGCAGACAATTTTGTAGGCAATTATATTAGGGAGAATTGAATTCAGCTGTGTTTTTCATCACTGAATTGGCTCTGCGGTTCCATCAGGAATAAAATTGGATTTTCCCACCCTCAGCTTGCAAATAAATGCAACTATAAAAATATGAAGTCAGTGCTTGTGCAAAGTTCTGGTATGATCCCCATCTCCATAATATATGAACACCTCACACAAATTTTAAATGTGTCCTTACAAAACCCTTTATAATTATCCCCCTTTTACAGATGAGGAAAATGGAGATTGTCACATGGAAAATCTGTAGCAGGGCTAGGAAATGACTCCAGATCTGCTGCGTCCCATTCTAGTGTCTTAAGGCTTGGAGCATTTACCAGTGAAATAACATTATGACTTAAAAGTATGCTGAAAGCACATGTATTGTTGACATAGAAAATGCTTTTAAACACTCACTGTTCTGCCCAGACAAACCCATTGGCTGTGTCTACACTGGGCCACTTATTCCGGAAAATCAGCCGCTTTTCTGGAATAAGCTGCGAGCTGTCTACACTGGCCCTTGAATTTCCGGAAAAGCAACGATGTTCTACTGTACAAAATTAGCCGCTATTCCGGAAAAACTATTCTGCTCCCGCTCGGGCATAAGTCCTTATTCCGGAACACTGTTCCGGAAAAGGGCCAGTGTAGACAGCCCAGTAGTCTTTTCCGGAAAAAAGCCCCGATCGCGAAAATGGCGATCGGGGCTCTTTTCCGGAAAAGCGCGTCTACATTGGCCACAGACGCTTTTCTGGAAAAAGGGCTTTTCTGGAAAAGCAGCCTGCCAATGTAGATGCTCCTTTTCTGGAAAAACTGAAAACGGAATAGTATTCCGTTTTAAGCATTTCCGGAAATTCATGCCAGTGTAGACACAGCCATAAGGTATACAGTTTTAGCTCTACCCAAGTGATCTGTGAAGCTTTCAGTAATTAGTGGGAGATGTGTTCCTAGAGTGTTGTGTATAATGCTGAAAAATACTTTTTAAAATGTTAAATATTGAAAAACTGTATTTAAACTATATTTATGTGGTAAGCACAAGTAACTTTGCTTGTTTCCATTATTCTTCTACACAAGCCTGAATTTATTCCTAGGACTTCATTGCTGATGTCATAAATGGTAGAGTGCTGCATTCTCAGTTAGACACCAGAAAATATTTTTTTGGAGATTTATATGCATCTATACTATACTCTCTGGAATCATCTGTTATCTTAGGTTGTCTGTCTTTTTGTTAAAAGCTCATATTATTTTAGACTGAATTAGGAAATGCCTCTGTTGCACATTTTTGTTCTCTAAGTAGCTCAATCACCCATAGAGCAAGTTATCACTCTTTTACTTCTTCCTCTATCCCAGTCTTCCTGAATAATACTATAGCCATTTGAACCCATATTTTAAAAAATGAGGCCCAAGATCAGTGTGCAGATGCATACGGGTAAACACAGATAGGTAGGTAATAAACCTTTTTGGTATATTTGCCCAATTTATGCATATGATTTCTGCAATATGCAGATATGAAATTACACCTGCATTTTCTCTGAGAAGCAGGGGCTGCCATTTTTTTACAAAATGAAGCCCCTAAAATGTTTCTACCTTAGTGTTCTGCATATCTTTGTGGAACTTAAATTCAAACTTAGAAATTACCTTATGCATCTGTCTGTTCTCTGTAAACATGGATTAGAGGTACTTATTGTTAGTTATATATTTTATAGTCCATCACTGGACTGGGCAAGACTGTACAAAAGTCTCCAGCTGAACTTAAACGTGGTAGGGCTTCAGGGGAAACTCACACTCTGAGGATGGATCTCTCTAACATACTCTGTTTAAAAAAATAATTTCAGAGCTCCTCTGTAAATTGTTTTAAAAGTGTGTATCCATGAGTCAGACTTTGACATCTCTGCTTTCTACAAGCCTTTGGACGAGACATTAGGAGATCAGCTACTAACTTTCCTCTAAACTCAGGGTGTGTGTGGCACAAATAAGCTCCATGCACAGCTGCCACAGTGAGATATGTTCTTCTCAAGCCCCAAAGCTGCTGCAGCCTGAATCATAGAACCCTAGAACTGGAAGGGACCTCGAGAGGTCATTGAGTCCAGTCTTCTGCCCTCATGGCAGGACCCAGTACCCTCTAGACCATTCTTGATAGATGTCTATCAAACCTGCTCTTAAATATCTCCAGAGATGGAGATTCCACAACCTCCCTAGGCAACTTATTCCAGCGTTTAACTATCCTGTTAAGAAGTTTTTCCTAATGTCCAACCTAAACCTCCCTTGCTTCAGTTTAAGCCCATTGCTTTTGCCCTGTCCTTAAAGGCCAAGGAGAACAATTTTTCTCCCTCCTCCTTGTGACACCCTTTTAGATACCTGAAGACCACTATCATGTCCCCTCTCAGTCTGTCTCTTCCTTTCCAAACTAAACAATCTCAATTCTTTCGCTCTTCCTTCATAGGTCATGTTCTTTAGACCTTTAATCATTCTTGCTGCTCTTCTCTGGAGCTTCTCCAATTTCTCCACATCTTTCTTGAAATGTGGTGCCCAGAACTGGACACAATACTCCAGTTGAGGGCATACCCATTGATCTCATGAGCCTCAGGCTTTCCACCCCCAGGAGCCAGATGTGTTGGCCACTTCCAGGGCACAGTGTGTTGCCCCAGGATAGTCAGGCACCAGGCAGCCTGTCTTAGTGCTGCTGATCAGGAATTGCCCAGGTAAACCTAAGCCTTGGCCACTGTGACCCCCTCTCAAACCCAGAGCCACCCTCCTGTACCTCAAACCTGTCATATTTAGCCCCATCACAAAGCCCATCCCTGCAGCTGAGAGCCTGTAACCCCTCCTGCATCTGAATCTTCAAGCCTCAGCCCCTCCTCAAACCTGGAGCCCCCTCTCACATACCAAACCCCTCATCACCAGGTCCACCCCAAAGCCTCACCCCTTCCTGCTCACCAAAACCCTCCCTCAACCTGCTGTCCCCTCCTGTATCCCAAATCCCACACCCCTAGCCCCACTCCAAAGCCCACACTCCTAGCCAGACCCTCACCCCTCTCATACCCTAACCACCTTCCTTAGCCCAGCACTTTTATTTAGAGTTGAACCCCCATTCAGCCCCCCCCCCCATGTGCAAAATGACTCTTAATATGAGATCCATCACCTCCACATTGGTGCACATAACAAATGTAATTCTGCACGTGGACATAAAAAATTGGAGGGAATGTTGGTCACCTAGTCCAACTCCCTGCCCTGGTAAATCCATGTTGATTCTTCCTGATCACCTTCTCCTCAAGTGTTTCAAAATGGATTCCTTGAGAACATACTCCATGATTTATAAAGGGGCTGAAATGAGACTGACCTGTCTGTAGTTCCCCAGATTCTCCTTCCTTTTTGTAAAGATGGGCATTACATTTGTCTTTTTTCCAGTGATCTAGGACTTCCCCCAATCACCACAGGATTTTGAAGATCATGGCCAATGGCTTTGGAATACCATCAGCCAACTATCAGGACCCTCAGATGCATTAGATCTGGTCCTATGGATTTGTGCATGTCCAGTTTTATGGAGTCATTGTGCTTTAAACGTTCTTTTTTGGGTTCAGTAAGCAATGCTCATGGCACAGATGTTAAAAAGCCCTTAATTTTATACAGATGTGTTTTATTCTGAGCATGATTTCTAGGCAAAGTCACCATTTCATCCCTAAGAGGAACAATGGAGAAAACTGAAGAGTTTGTATTAGACATATATTAAAGTAACTGAAGTGGTTGAAAAGGCAAAGAATAACGTTTTGAAAAAGACAAGCTATGGGTTTTTCTGTCTTTCTTTGATTTTTCTTTGTTTGTTTTGAATGTTTCCAAATGTGATATCAAATCCAGTTTTACAAATATTTGTGTATTTGGTTGTTTTCTGATGGCTCTATCATAAAAATATTTTCCATTCATCATATTGAATTCAGTTATTTGGGTGCCAATCTGGCAAACACCTGTGCTCAAGTTTACCCTAACTATTACTTAATGGAACTACTCATATGTTTAGCGTTATTAAGCCCATGCTTTACTGTTTACAGGATAACCTTTCTTAACTAAGTTCCTTACCATATACACAGGAATAGGGTTTTTAGTTAGGCTTTCCTGAAGCTGAGTAGACTGAGGCACAAGCAGATCTAATAATTTGTCTGTTGCCTAATACAGTTAATTGCTGATTATTACCCAAATTCTCCTTGCTACCAGTCCATTGCTATAACATCTAGATAATCTAATCTCCATACTTAGCATGTATTACAGTTCTGAACTACCCCCCTGGAAATGTTATGTGCCTATTGTACATACAGGTTTTGAATCAGTCAGAGATTTCATGTATGCTGTTAGATGAAGGCTGTGTTTGTTTGCTTTTTCCTAAAATTAGTTTTTCATCATTAAAAGGTTCTAATCATAACCAGACCTTCAGAGAAAACTACTAATTTCATGATCCAGCAACAGAAAGTTTTTCTATAAACTCCATCTTTGTAACACAAGCTATTATACAGTTGTCAACAACCCAAATTTATTTCAAATGTACTTTGTTGTGCTATGCAGCAGATGACTAAAGTACTTTTAGTTTTAGATTCCTAAGCAGAAAGCACTGGATTTTTACAGATATTTGGGCAACTAAAGATGAAAATTAAATCAATGGCAGTAAGCCACCTAAGCACATCTGGAAATCTCACTAGCTACTTATCTATGTACATAGGCACCTTAAGTACCTTCAAAATTTGGTCCTAGATCATTAACACCAGAGAAAAGGCTGAAGAGAAATTTTAAAACGCACAAGGCTTCTGATCTTTCCTCTCTGCCAGGATGCCAAACTCACCAGTGGCCTGATTAGAATTACACCAGTAATGAATGTGATCCCTTGTATTTTGTCTGTACCAACACTAACGCCTTGCAAATGTTTATGGTTCTGTCTCTTCCCTTTGGTGCTCTGTAAAAGTCTGGAACACCAATGGAATGAAAAATAGCACTGCCTGTGGACCTATGTCTACACTACAGAGTTTTTTCAGAAAAACGTCCGTTTTTCCAAAAAAGCTTCACTTACATCCACACTGCAATTGCATTCTTTTGGGAAAAAATAGATAGAACTGAGGGGGTTTCCCCAACATTGGTAAACCTCTTTCTATGAGAAAGAAGCCTTTTTCCGAAAGAGCTCCTTCAGAAAAAGACGTGTATGGATGGGGAAGAAGTTTTCTTTCTAAAGAAGAGGAAAAAGGAAAAAGCACAGGTGCCCTGGTGGCCACTCAGTCCATAGTAATCACAGCTTAAATGTGAGATTGCGTCCATTCAGTGTGGATGCTCTCTTTCAGAAGAGAAAAGCTTCTGCCGAAAGAAGCCTGCAGTCTATACATAGCCTGGGACAGAAGTAGTAATTAGAGAGAGACAAAGACTCAAATTGCAAGGAAATTCTACTCATGAGAATGAGTGAAGTGGGCTGTGAGATTTTTCTCCTTTCTCCCCTCTCTCCTAAATTAACCAAATGGATAACTACTAAGTATAGGGAAAGTATAGCTGGAATAACCATGAGATAGAAATACCTGTGTCTTCTGAGGTGATGTAAAAACATAACCCAAAGGAGTTTAATAAACTAACAAAAAAAATCCTATTAGGTTGTAAATATTATGCTAATTAGGAAAATTCCTTTGACCTTTCTTAATTTGGTAGTGGGACAAAATTACACATTTTCTTCCCATTGCCAAGGTAGACTGAAAGTCAACAGAGGAAAATTTGTAGGTGCACCGTTATAAACTCTTGTATTTCGAGACTAGCCTTATTGAAGGGAGGCAATTTAACCATGATGCTTAAGAACAAACTGATTTATACTAAACAAACTCATCTGTGAGTTCAAAATAACTTTGTTTCACATTTTAACATGTGGCTTTTTAAAAAATATCAGTACACATAACAGGAAATCTATGATAGAGTTTGAGTTTTTTCCCTTATGCTATTGGCCAAGTGGACTTTATTCTTGTTTTTTAGTTGAAGAGAGGAAGACACCCAGTGAATCAAATAGCCCTTCTTCATCTTCCCTGTCAGCACTTAGTGATTCTGCCAACAGCAAAGAAGATGCAGATATCACCCAAAAAAACAAAGGTTCAAACAACCTCCTAGTAATTTCCGTAGTGCCTGGTAGCCAGACCTTATTGAACACTGAAGAGAAATCAGAAAAAGGTAAAAGCTGATTAAACAGACAAACTCCCTTCTTTTAGGCAAGGGAACTGGATGGATTTTGAGTTATGTGTCTGTATTTCATTTTTCAGGTTTTGAATGTGTTTTCTGTAACTTTGTCTGCAAAACAAAAAACATGTTTGAGCGCCATTTGCAAATCCACCTGATTACACGGATGTTCGAGTGTGATGTGTGCCACAAGTTCATGAAAACACCTGAACAATTAATGGAGCACAAGAAATGCCACACTGTCCCCACCGGTGGGCTCAAGTAAGGAAAGCAAGTACACAAACTTTTACTGTGTTAAGCATCTCCAATACTCTGGGGATAGGAGGTAAAGGAAATAAATTAGAAGGGGTTAATGTTCGATGATTCAGATTCAGAGCTACTATTTTAATCTTTTATTGGGTAACATAGCCCAAGCCACTGTCCCCTAGATTAAATGTAGTTTATTAATTATTAGTTGTTGTTATCATTATGTGTTACTATCATCCCTAGAAGCCCTAATTGTGAACCAAGATCCCAATGTGCTAGATATAAGACAAACACTGTTCTTGCCCCACAAAGCTCACAATTTCAATATAAGACTAGAAACAACAACTGGATATAGACAAGTCAGACAGAGCACAAGGAAACAGTGCTGGACAACATGGTAGACTGTGGTCTCACATACCAGCTGCCTAATTGTTGCTAAGTATATTGTAGGCATCATGGCAAAGGATAGTTTAGAACCAGCCACTGGTTTTGAAAGCAAAAGTAGTGGATACAACAAATAGGGTTACCAGGTGGCTTCAAAAAAAAATACCGGACACACTTGATCTCAGATGGGCTGGGGGTGGGGGGGGAGGGCCTGGCCAGGGGAGATAGGGAGGAAGAGGTGGGGAGAACCAGCCAGCGGGAAGCAGGGCTGGCTGGGGGGAGCGAGGCTGGCTGGGAGGTGGGGGAAGAATCGGCCAGCAGGGAGTGGGACTGACCCGGGCACATGCAGATCTCGGGGCGCTGCCTATCCCGCACATGGTCCCAGCGAAGCACGAGCAAGTCCAGCCCCAGGGATTCCCTCCTGCCCCCATGTTGCATAGCTGCGTACTGCCTGGCTGGCAGACACGCTCACGCAGTGTGAGCACGTCTACCAGCCAGGCAATATGCAACTATGTACTGATACTCCTAACAATAATGTAATTTACCTAATTAGAAAATACCGGACATTTTATATGTCCGGTATTTTCTCAATTTGTTTCCCGGACATAACCTTCAAATACCAGACTGTCCAGTTCAAAACTGGACACCTGGCAACTGTAGCCACAAATGTAATGGATGACAACTTATTTCACTTAGTTTGCAAGCTGCCTTTCAAAGGAAAAGTGAAAGAAAAAATATGGAAAAAAAAAGGCAGAGCAGTTTTTGCTATTCGGTTAGCTCAGATGAAGTATGCAAGCTTTTGTTTAGATAACAAGGTATAAAGTCATTCTAACTCTTCCAAAGATTTTACAGCCTTTTTCTGTTCCTAATGAAAGGCAATCTTCACTGGTAATCATGCATGTTTTTGTTTTCAAAGTGAAAAAGTGTTTGTATCACAAAACTTTGTATCCCTCATTTTTGTCTCCTTTTAACAATTATTTTTTGGGAGAAGAGGTTATGTTCTTATAGTAAATACACAAGACTCCTTTTTTCCCCCCCATTAGTACCTGAGAAAATGTCCTTTTTACAAATGCAGCTGAATAACAGAAACTGATATTGTCCAGTGTTTTGATTTGGGCTTTTTACCTATCCAAGTATCTTTTCAGTTCTAAGTCATTTTTGTTGTCTTCTCTAGCTGCTTGAGTATTGAATACATTGTTGCCCCATCACTTTTTGTTTCATATTATTCATTTTGTTTTCTGTTAAAAATTCAGAATCTGTAAATGTAACAAGGAAGGTAATAGTTTAGCTGTGCATTTGTATACATGTTCCCTCAGTTATTTCTTACATTACAGTATTGTTTTTAAATTATAGGCCTGTCACAGGTTTTAATAATCAATTTATAAATTATAGCATGACCAGTAACACATACTTTCCAAATATCCTGATAGCCTCTGTTAATACAGTATGTTTTTGGACCATTTGAGCAGATTAACTTGCTTCAAAAGATATTTTTAATAATATGAGGCAGAAAAAAAAGGCTTTGCCTGAGCTGCAATTGAGAGATCAAGCAGAGGTCACAGAAATGTCCTTACAATGTAATAGACTGTAAATGTCCAAATTACTTTTGTGATCAAACTACTTACTATGTATTTCCTGTTCATAATGTAGATAATGCAATTTTTTTGTTCATAGTGGAGGACAGTGGAAGAGTTTCAGAATTGCCCAGGAAAAGTACAGATTAATGTAGGTGTGTCTGAGCTGGACATTCGTTACTCGTCTGTTCCTTTCACCAATCTTCCTTTTAAGAAAGCTTCATACACTTTTTTAAGAAACAAGTGTTGTCCTTTGAGAACTGTCTATACAGACCTTTATTTTTAGAGTGCACATAAACCATTGTGTCAAAGTTGGAACCTTCAGGCAAGCAGTGACTGTTGGGTATCCAGGAATATGCCTTCACTGGGATAAACATTCAATGTGATGTTATATAAGGGCTCCTGTTGCATTCCTCTGGTTGTTTCAACCACTTCAGGCAATAAGGTTGGAACTGTTTCAACCGTGAGTGGGGGGCAACACACCAGAACTTCTTGCCTCCCTCCTTTTGTTGTATTTGTTGACCAAATGACTGTTGGTGTATTGTAAATGTTCACATTAATACTTGTCTGGTTTAGTTTTCGTTAGCGATAAGGTAAGCCAATTTTAGTTTTAGATCTGTGCATTGTGCATTTCAGTGGATTGGTTCCATCTGCCAGTCAGACTCCTGTATCAAGCTCAATAGTTCCATCAGTCACGGGTCTGTATTTGGTTCTGATGTGATGACTGAATCTGGGAAGAAAACCAGATTTAGACAGCGTGCATCTTGCAAAAACAAGACATCTGTCTCAGATGCACATACCAGTTGCCTTTTGTGCCTGGATGTAATCTATGCTGAATCTATTCTCTGTGCTAGGAAAAACCGTGAATCTTGACTCAAGTCTTCCTGATGTAAGGAGCTTTGAAGGTTTCTCAGGTTAGCGCTGACAGACGAGGTGGATGAGGTAATATTTTTTATTGGACCAATTTCTGTCAGAGAGACAGACATGCTTTCAAGCTACATACTGCATACATCAGGCTAGCTGTGGCAGTCCAGCTAACTCATCTCCTGGTCCTTCAGTTACACAGTGAAGAGGCAAGTTGAGAACTGGATGCGATAAAAAGCTATGCTCTAAAAGCATCCAAGAAACTCAAAGAGATTTAAATATCAAAATAAGCTTGTACTTTTCTGCTTCCTGTTCAGCACTGTGCATGCAGGGGGGAGGGAAGCGGCGGGGAAAGATGAGGAAAACCATTATTTCTCCAGTTTCTATCCAACTCCAGGAAACAATTTAAGATTCTGATCCAAAGTGGAGTCAGCAACAAGAGAGGCCAGTATAAGTGATGCTTTGACATCAGAATCCTTGGTTCTAGTACAATTAATTGCTTTGGCATCCTCACTGCAGGGCTGCTTTTTTGGATCAGCATCTTTTTATGGACCAAGAATATTGATTGGTTGCTACTATCCATCTGTACTTTCATTAGTCATTATCTTCCTCCCTATGTTTAAAGGTAATTTGGTTAGATAAAATTGAATCTGAGTGTATTCTTCCTAGATTGTTTATTTGTAGATGTAACAAGTCTACACAGCACCCTAAACTCAAAATAAGATACACAATGTGCACTACTTAAATTGTGTATCTTATTTCAAATCTATTTGAAAATAGTGCACTATCTTGAGACATCCCTTAACCCTTGTGGAAAAAATATTTTAAAATAATTAGTGGCTTGTGTAGATGCAGGGTAGCTATTTCAGGATACCGAGAGATCCCGAAATATCTCCGCCGTGTAGATATACCCTGAGAGAGAAGATACCTGCTCAGAAATTGCCTCAAATGGAGTACATTTTCTGTATCTGTAAGGCTGTCAGCAAGTGCTCTAGTCATACTTTTAATTAATTAATTTTAGCTTGGCAGGTAGATCTAAAGCAAGTTTGGGAGACAGTTCTGCAATCTTTATTTAATTCTAGCAGGTGAGGCCTATCATCGACCGGGCAAAGTCATTTTGTGTAGATTACACTTATAGGAAAGTTCAAGACATTAGTAAAACACACTATGATATAAATTTAATGTGCTGGCATAAGGGAAGTAAAAGAACAGTTTTAAATTTGTAGGATTTCAACTTCAAACATTCTTCATTTGTTGAATAATTGCCATATATGGTACATTTGAATCAGAAACTTGTAAAGCTTCCATTACTCTTTCCATAACTAATTTGAATTATTTTGTGATTTGTAACCATAAAAATTGTAGTGCATTGATTGTTTATTCAAAATTTGGCATGTGTAGGTAATCACGGAGCATGACTTTATTTTGAACAAACAAATCGAGAAGCAAACTCTTCAAAATATATAGTAGATACTTCCGAGCCAATGCAGAGCTCTTCCTTCTCCAGCCTTCTCTCAAATACAATTTGTATTAGGGATGTTAGATATCGTGTAATTGAATAGTTGTGTAACCACATGAAATCTTAACAGTTACATGACTAGGGGCAGGGCCAGCGCTGACCCAAATCATGGGGAACCCCCTACCACCTTGCGCTGCTGCCTCTGTATCAGAAGCAGCAGCGCAGGGTGGCAGGTGGAGCCGGTCTATGAGGAGAGTCCGTTTAAAAACCTTCTCCCTGCTTGTCATCCTGGGCTGCTGCCTCTGATATAGAGGCAGCATCATGGGGTGGCAGCAGCCCCTGTCCATGGGGGGTCCAAGTTCCCTGTGGACAGAGGTTGCTCCAATGGATGCGTAGCAGCCTCTGTCCACGAGGAGGACTGATGCTTCATAGCAGCCTCCCCTGTCCCTCTCCCCCACGCTGCTGACTCTGACAGAGGCAGTAGCACAGAGGCAGGAGAGGTGGCACCACAGAGCTGGTGATGGAGGGAATCGGCTTTTAAGCCAGCTTTCCCAAGAACCAGCTCCTGCCTGCTTACTGCTCCCCCACCACTGCCTCGGTTGGAGGCAGCGGCGGGAGGCAGGCAGGTCTGCGGAGCCAGCACAAGCGGGGAGCTGACTTGAAAGCTAGCTCCCTGTATGTACTGGCTTCTGCCTGCTCCCCCCCCCCTTCGAGCTGCTGTCTTTCTATCAGAAGTAGCAACACTGGGGTGGGGTGGGCAGGCAGATCTGGTGCTAGCGGGGAGCCGGCTTTTAAGCCAGCTCCTCATGGGTACCGGCTGCCATTCCTTGCCGCCGAGGCATATCGGTTAATCATGTAGTCATCTACACAATGACATCTCTAGTACATATGCTAAATAGAGTCAGAACTCACCCACTTCCATTTATAAAGAAATTAACTATCACGATGTTTACATCAACCTTCATCTGTACCCCGTTAGGCCTAATGTTCCTCTCTCCTGGCTATTCAGCCTGTGACCTAGATCTTCCCTTTGCTGTGAGCCACTCTCACCTCTTTTATATCCAGATAGACTGAGTCAGCAAAACCCACTCAGCATTCCCCAGCAGTATCAAGACCTGCCAGCAAGAAGGAATAATTCAGGCAAACACTGTCAGACACTTTTTATTCATCTCTTTTGAGGTAGAGCTGCTAGTTAATTTCCCAGAAATAAGTATCACTACAGACGGTACTTAAACGAGAGAGCTTATTTACCAGAAATTGTAGTTCTTTGCATAGATTGTACAGACCCACCTTCCACCTCCACTTCTTTTTAGTCCTTTTATCAAAGATTTTGAGTAAGTGGAGGGAAGTGAAGGAAATGGATCTGTGGCATTCAGTTTCACAAGGGAGTATATTCTTGGTGCCAGTGAATTTTGTTTTCAATGCCAGGAGTAAGATGAGTACAATCTACTTGAAAAAACTACATTTACTGGTAAGTTGTCTTTTCATTTGGTAAACAGACCGGACTGATTGAACTTCTCCCTAACAAACCAACTTTCTGTTGTTTTGTTTGATACTCTGTCAGTTTGTTCTTGGATGCTATTTTAAAGGGAATTCCCTTCATTCTTTTGTGTGTGTGTTTGGATTTGAGCATGGCAAGTTTATGCTTCCTTTACACAAGTGGACACATACATTTCTGGACAAACTCCCTTTCCATTAAGAGATGAAGTAAGATTAGAGAGACACTTTTGTGGGATGAATCAGTGTTTTCCTAGGATTATGTTAACCCTGCTGTAGTAAATCATCCTACTTTCATATTTTTATTCTAGAGGCACAAGCTGAGAAGAGCAAAATACACTAAAATGAACTGAAAAATAATGCTGTTTGCCTTGTAATTAGACTCAAATGGATTGAATGACAAACTAACCTAAGAATGTCAATGGGTAGAAAAGGGTGAGACTATTCTATTCAGAACTTGACCATCTTTTCTTTGGTTTTGTTCTTTCAATAGGTGCCCATTCTGCATTTACTCCACAAATCGCCCTGCAGCCATGGAATGCCACCTGAAGACACACTACAAGATGGAATACAAGTGTCGGATCTGCCAGGCAGTGAAAGCAAATCAGCTGGAGCTAGAAATGCACATCCGGGAACATCGTCTTGGCAACCATTACAAGTGTGACCAGTGTGGCTATCTTTCAAAAACAGCCAACAAGCTGATAGAGCATGTGCGTGTCCACACTGGGGAGCGCCCTTTTCACTGTGACCAGTGCAGCTACAGCTGCAAACGCAAAGACAATCTCAACTTGCACAAGAAACTGAAGCATGCTCCACGCCAGACTTTCAGCTGCGAAGAGTGCCTGTTCAAGACCACCCACCCTTTTGTCTTCAGTCGCCACGTGAAGAAGCACCAGAATGGGGAATGCCCTGATGAGGAGAAGAAGGGCCATTATTCAACCTCTAAGCAAGCCAACCCTCTCCTAACAGTCAATAGCTCCAGGAACCTCTTGTCCCCACTCTCAGTCATGTCTGCCTCCCAGGCACTGCAAACAGTGGCTATGTCAGCTGCACACAGCAGTGGAGCAGACCCAAACTTGGCAGTGAAGGCCTTGGCCATAAATGGCGCCTCTTTGTGCTTTGATAAATACTGGAACTCTGAATTTGCCCATCTCATTCCCTTAACAATGTTTTTCCCCAAGAACCACTTTGATCTCACATTCCATCCACCCAGACCTCAGACTGCACCTCTAGATGGCACCTCACCTAAACACTCCTTCCTTGCCTACCTTGGACTAACAGAAAGGGCAGAAACTGTCTGAGGACAGTTACATTCTGTACCAAAAAATACCCCAACAAACCCAGCAGGTATTCATTGCTGCAAAACATAAACTGAAGAGGTATGAACACTTGTACTATATATATCATTAGTAAGATTTAGGAAATGGCTCTGTGTGTATACTTATTGCATTGGCCTGAAAGCTGCTTTATTAAATCTCCAGAGAGGTGAACCTACTGCATACTTCTACCTTCAGAGGCATGTTCCCAGTACTCTTATCTAAGAAACAATTTTGTCTTGTTAAGCTAAACAAGAGTGTCCTTAATGGCAATCAGCACTTGTAAAACTACATATTGAAGCGTTTTATTTTTGGTTTGGGTGTGTGCGCGTGAGTGTATGAAAGAGAGCCTGTCAGTAGTGTGCCATGAAATTGCTTTTGCACATCCTTTGTATTGGCTTATTTAATAATTATTAAACTAATTCTCTTTTCATTTACTTTCCCCTTTCCTTTTGCCTTTCCCACTCCCCTTTACATTTTAGAATTTTGTAACTCTATGATTGTTGAGAAGAGCAGTGAGGTTTGGTATATTGGCTCAATGCTGTTTGCAGTTTCCTATAGCATGTTTGGTGCCTTGTCCTTAGATCATTAGTTGTAAAGATTTGAGGATTAAGGTAGAACAGACCTGGAAGAAATTACTGTCAGCACTGTAGGCTGAGTGTGTGAAATTGAAGGGTGTGTGTGTATATATATATATGCCTTTAGAGTATGTATTATATATACACACATACACAAAGCCAGATACTTTACTGTTACGCTGGTGTAACTAAGCTTACAGTCTGGCCCATAATGTACATCTTTTGTTTAAAAAGGGCTCATATATATATATATATATATATATATATTATACACACACACATACACACACACACTGCATTACTGCAGTGGTTACCTTTAGTTTGAAAGAACAACTTGTATAACTAGAATTCTATGGTGGTTAAATCCAGCGGAGGGGATTTTAAAAAAAGGTTAAATTCTGGGTATAAATGCTCAGACTAAAAAGGCAGTTTTGCACAGTGCTTTAATCTTGCACTAGTTTGTCACTCGCAAAAAAAGAAGAAAATGTTTCTTTTATGGGATGACATATCAGATTGTATGTTTGAAAAGGTACCAGCAACTTCTTTGAAAAAGAAAGATATAAAAAGGTGCTGTTTAATCATACAGTTCTTTTATACCTTCAACTTTTTGGTTGTATCTGCAATTTTCATGGTCCTATCAATATTATCCTCCTTGTTATTAGTACTATTTTATTCCTTTTTGTTAAAGGCTGATAGGGTATACACTGCTAGAAAGCTAACTTTATACTTATTTAATGCTCTTACTTTGTGGTCATTAAAATGACAATTTTATATGTAGCACTTTATTGCAGTAAGAAGCAAATGTGGATTGGTTGTATAACCTTTGTTAATCTTAAAAAGCAAACAGTGATCTTAAAGAAAGAGGAAAAAACTTTGGCTGAATGTTAATAGATCTCTAGTTCTTAAGATAAGTTTCCAGTGCAAAACAAACAGAAAGGTCAGGCATAAAAGGTTCTTTCTGTTGAAATGTGAAGTATAAAGTATTTAAACATTTTCAGATTATTTATCATTTACATTCAGTTGATGTACAAGAATGCTTTTTTATTGTGTTATTGTTTTCCATAGTATTGACATTTGGTCCAGATCTGTTTTACCATGTATTTTGAGATCTCACTAGCTTTCTTCGGGTTTTCCCCCAATCAAGCTTTAAAAGAGGTGGCCCTAATCAGACTTAATTTTCTACCTCCACATATTCCCTATCTGAAAGCATCTTCTCTCACACACAGTTAAGAGTCTAATCCAAATTTCACTGAAGTCGTTTGGGAGACTTCTAATAACTTCAATGATTTTGAATCAAGCTTATGGTCTACGACTATACCAAAATAAAGCCCTAATTCAGGAAAGCTTCTGTGTTTAGGAAAGGCTCTTAAGAACATATTTAAATATATGACTAAGGTCCACTGCTCTTAAAGTTAATCATGTGGTGAAATGCTTTCAAAGCCAGGAACAAAGACATTAAACTCATCTGTACATTTTCACACCTTTTAATACATGTTAAAATACTGGAAGCTGTCTGAAAAGAGAAAATACAGAATGAGGAGAACCTAATATTTTAGCAGACTGTAATATACCAGTTTAAAAGTAAAATAATGACAAAGGATTTCCCACCCAGTTTAAAAGTAAAATAATGACAAAGGATTTCCCACCCAATTGTTTAAGTTCCAACAGATATTTTTGCTCCAGTGAGCATGTGGCTATTCTAGCTCAGCTATTAATATAAATCATCTGTTCCAAATTGCTGTGTAAATCTACTAATAGGCAAGGCAAACCATTCAGGCCCTGTTTATCACATTATTGCATCTACTCCATCAAAACCCTCTGACTTCATTACAAATATGGACAAAATAGAGAGTACTGAATAGGCTCTACATTAGTAACCCATTCAAATAAGAACTGATAAAAGATGAGTTTCTTTACCCCCTGAATCATGCAGTCGGCCTTTCAGTTAATATAATGGTTACAAAAATACATTCTCACAGTGTTTCTGACTGACCTTACCACAACAGAGCAAAGATCTTAAACAAACGGGGAAAAAAAGCCTGCTTGTTCATCAGCAAGTAAACTACAGGTATATAAGGGCAAAGAGGAAGGAATGTTTAAAGAATATTTTCTGTAAACTGAATTGCAATATAATAAGGCTGAAACTCCCAGGAATGAGTGTTATGAAGCTGTCAGCATGTTAATCCCATGTGTTTAAGTTTTCTGCCCAACCTGTATTTGAATGAAAATAATGTTTGATATAACTGAGCAACTTTGTTTAGCACTTTGGAAAAAGACATTTAATTCTTTCTGATGAGGGAGAAAAATGTATTTGGAGGTGTTTTATTTTTGTTAAAAAAAATATACAGTATTTATAAAAGCCCTGGCATATACAATAATTGGTTTGCAATTCAAAGCTAAGGAAAGATAGCTGGTAAACTTCCACTACTCCAAAGCTGATTTCATAGCTATTTTCACTATGCATTCTTAAATGAAGGTTGGCTTGGGTTTCCATTCAGTAATTCAGTTAAAGTTTCAGCACTTTCTTTTTTTCTTTCGGCTGTCCTTTTTTATTTGTATTATGTTCAAATATCACACTGTCAAGGTTTGTGTACATTAATAAAAATTTGTATTGTATAAAGCTATTTGCATTATAAGGCTGTACAGGGTCATTTTGACAGTAACTGGTATATTCCTTTGCATCTTATGTTGCATTGCCAATTTCTAGTGTATCCAGTTTGGAAGTACAATATACTCTAATTAAAAAAAAGGTTGCCTATACTCTGGTTTCTTTTATTTTTTCTCCCTTCTTCTTCATTGTTTTGTCAACTAATCATCTAAATTTAGGGATTTTTTTTTTTTTTTAAATCTTGATAGGGCAGCATTCCCAACAGGAGTAACAGACACGAAAAGGTAAGACAACATTTTGTTCAGTTTTAACTATACGAAAATGTGGTTTTTGTAATTGTGGTTGTTGTTACATTTTATTTATTTTATGATGAAAAGTATGAAAATGTAAGGAAATTGATTGTTTGGCCTTCGGTCATACTGTCTTGCACTGGAATCCTTTGTAATCTAACAAACTAAATAGAGTGAGACCTACTTACTACTGGGAGGGGAGACCTTGAAAGAGCACACACATACTGTTTGAAGTGGTGTTGCATAATTCAGAAGGTGGTACATTTGCCTTTGGTTCAATAATGAACCAATACCCAAGTATGTTTTTAAGGGGCATACTTTGTGGCTGAAGGTGCGGTCTTTCAGATGGGCTATAAGCAAGCTCTTGACCTGAGGCATTCTAAAAGCAAAAATGTAATCCTTCCTTGCTAGTCAGGTATCACTTTACGTAACTATATTCTAGCTACCTTCCAAATATTCTCCCACTACTTTTAATTACATACAGCATTATTGACTTCCTTTCCTAATGATAATGTGTAGTATTGTTGTGCACTGTTAACAGACTGCTGTGTTCCACCTCAGATATGGCAATATTTAGTAGGTAGGTCAGTGATCCTTAAATATAATTTGCATATGATTTTCCTTGTAAAGTACTTTGAGATCCTTAAGCTTGAAGGTTGGGTGTATAAATTAGTTTCTTTGTGAATTTAATAAAAGTTCCTCCTACTAACTGTGTAAAAGTATGGCCAATTATTTGTGATAGCCTTAGGTAAATTATAAAGAAATAGTGTCAATGACAAGCAGATCAGATCAAAGTTGATTATCATAATGGTCTCTTCTCCCCTGTAAAAGCTATGAAATTCTGATCGATCAACCACATTCTGCCACTCTTACTCATATATTGAATAGTATCTGTCTCCACAGGTACCCCCACTGAAACCAGTGGAATTAATTGTGGAGTAAGGTGCTACTTAATGTGAGTAAAAGTGGTAGATTCTGGTCTTGAATATTCATTTAGTATAGAGTTTCTTAAACTGTGTTCCGCGGCACACCATGGAGAACAGAATTCAAAATGGCCACTCTTAAAGGGGCAAGCAATTTTTTTTTGTTCAATAACTTTCCCCTGACCCTTTTTTTCCCTCAATAACTTTCCCCCGACTCTTTTTGCCCTGATTTCTCCCCCCCCCCCCCCAAACAAAAAAAATCTTTGTTGTTCCCCATAAAAAAATATTGTTTGGTGTTCCTCAGTCTTAAAAAGTTTAAGAAACACTGATTTAGTACTTTCTGGTGAAATAATGTGAATTTTTCTGTCATTCAACACAGCGTGTATATTTTGTCAAATCTTGTAAAGATCAACAATTAAAAAAAAAAAAAAGATAATGCCATTAAGACATTCAGATGTACTGGAGAGAGGAGAAACATTTGCACAGATCCAAGGTCTGACAATTTGCTAGGAGCCAGGGAGGTGAGGGCATAAGTTATCAGAAAAAAAAGCTTGACACTTTAAAATGAAGTTAGAATAGACTATTAAACCACAGTAATGAAGGAATTATCTTATTCATAGCAATCTTCAGTGCAAATCAAGACATGGTATAAACTTCTAATCAGCTGGAAAATTCTTGGCTGTATTTCTAGAGCAAATATCCTAATCTTTGGGTACCATGCTAGCACCTAGTAGTGAACATGACTATCCTTTATCATGCTCTTTCAGTCTTGTGTTTAATTCTGCTCCTGCATCAATTGGTAACTAGTTATGTTCTAAGAAGGTGCTTCTATTTCTTATGTGGCCCTGGCTGCATAATCAGTTGTGTGTGAGAAAAGATTGCCTTGCTTTCTCCACTTCAGCTGTTTCTGTAATAAAGGAAAAGTAAAATTATATTCTTATACTTACTTGGAGCTATAAATATTAATACATCGGCATCAATAGTGAAACTATATAAGATAAACTAGAACCCAAGAAGCCTCTAATATCTTTCATATGCAGTATGAGACCCTCATAATGTCTTATTTGCTCCCTTACAATAAACATTTTGGACAGATCATCAGCTTTCATAAATTATCATAGCTTAGTTGAAATCAGCAGAGCTGTCATAATTGACATTAGCTGAAGATCTGGTCATTTTGGGTACAATTAAGAAAGAGAGAAAGAGAGAAAGAGAGAAAGAAATCCTTTTTGTCAGGTTTGATATATTAACTAAAATGACATTTTTTTTCTTAATGAGAGATGGGATTAGACCAGCCCCACAAGTTCAAACCTTAGGTCCCCACTGGAATCAAATCTGTGACACAAGGGATTTTCAGATGACTACAGGTTGAACCTCTGTGGTCTGGGACTCCGTGGTTCGACAACACCCGTGGTCCAGCAGGATGTTGCTGGACTAGAGAGGCCCAGCAGCACAGGTTGCCTGCCAGCTCAGTGTGGAGCTGGCCAGGGGAGCCTGTGGGGCATGAAAGCCCCTAGCTGGCAGAGCAGGGAAGCTGGTGGGGCTGCTGAGCACTTTGGTGGGGCAGTAGAGCCTGCAGCCAGCAAGGCTGCCAGGAGCTCTCGCAGGGCTGCTGCAAGGCCAGAGTGGCTGGGGGCTCTAGGGAGGCTACCTCAGCTCACGGGACAGGAGGTAGGGAGAGAAGCCCAGCAGGGAGGCTGGTGTCTCCCCAGAGGCCTTCCATGGTCTTGCCCCGAGAGTCGCGGACCAGGGATATGTGTGTAACAACCACATACTGATCGGTATACATACAGAACATAGATCTGTTACAGGAGTGAGCAAGTGAGGTTTTTCTTGTGTGCAAAGTGCAGGAGGTCAGACTAAGTGATCCTGATGGTTCCTTTTGACCTTAAAGTCTATGAGAACAGTAAATAGTAAGACTAAGTTAATCAAATTTTGGTATGGGAAAAACAAGAGATGGAAAAAATGGCATTTGCTTATACAGAAAAACTAGATAACTTTTGAAAGATCTCCCTGTGAATTATACACAGTTTCATTTGTTATTAAAACTTTATTAAATTAGTTTTTCTGGCATGTGCAGAATATGTTTGTGTGCGATATAAAGGCTTTATTGTTACATAAATGGGATGATCCACTCTGTTAAATCAGAGAGAGCAAATACATGAGAGTACAGTATAAGGAGTTTGTGTATTCTGTATATGTCTCATACATTACAGAGAAGCTACTTCAGAAAGTTTGAGAGCTTTAAACATTTGAATGGGCACTATTTGTTGTAATCCCATACCTATAAAACCGTAAAGCCAAGTGCCTTAGTCATTAAATTTTTGTAGTTGATAATATCGGTTGTGCATGGCTATAGTTTTTGTGTGTGTCCACATAACAACAACAGCTATTATATATGGCGCTAATTAGCTCCCTTGTTGACAAGTCTCAGCAGAGAGGCTAAAGACTGTAGGTGAAAGTAAGCTGCTCACTCACCCCCCAGAAATGGTCTCTTCAGGTCAGAAGCAAAGCACCGTGTGCACACTTGATTGGCTGCCTTACAGCAGTATGCTTACGCAAGACAGGATTCACATTTTTTTGACTCATGTTTATTTTTAATCTCCCTGCACTAGCAGGAATTCTTTATTTGGTATTTTATTAATACAAGTTGAACTTCTCTAATCTGGCACCGTTGGGACCTAACCAGTTCCTGCTCGCCCCGGGTTCCCCACCGCACTTCTGCTTTTTAAATGTAGCAAGATCCCCGTGGGCAGCTCTTACTACATTTAATAGGCAGAGGCGCAGACGGGATAGCAAGCGCTCTCCCCCCTCCCTCCTTATTGACTAATCAAGTAATTGATGGAAATTCATCAACTACTCGATTAGCTGAATAAATCCATGTTAAATGTGGAAGAAATTGAGCGCCAGAGAGTGACATGACTTGCTGTAAATCACACAGCAAACCAATGAGAGAGACAAGGTGAGTGAAATAATGTCTTTGAATGGGGCATCGTCTGTTAGTGGAGAGTACAGTTGCCCGTTATTGACTCCCCTGACGAAGAGCTCTATGTAGCTTGAAAGCTTGTAACTTCCTCCTATGGAAGTTGGCCCATTCAAAGATATTACTAACTTTGCCTGGGACTAACATGGCTATGACAACACTGCAAACAGTCAGTAGTTGATTTAAAAACAACCTTCCCAAAAAAGTTACTATGCTGTCTTTAAAATACACATAAAATAGTCATCGCTGTAATATTATAAAGTAGATCATAATACAGAAATACCCCTTCTCCTCAGTATAGGAAATAACAGTACCATAGACTTGCCACGCATCTATAAAGATGTAATAGCAACTACTGTCATTGTTCTACTGCAATATAAATAAAACTCAAGTTTGTCACATACTCTTGTCCCTCTGCCCAGGGATCACTGTATGCAATCTTCCACTGCTGTACTGAGGTAGTTTAGGGGATAAGAAGGTAGGGATGTTTGAGTGCTTATGGGTTAATGGTGTCAGTTACAGTCTATTACAGTTACAGTCTATACAGAGTTACCTATACAAGTAATAGGGTAACGGTGTAACCGCTGAAAATCTCAGCAGTTACACAGTTACCTATGCCGCGCAGTTTAGTTTTATGCTTCAGAGCCTGCAGCGAAGCCCCCCTGGGAGCGGGGTCACCAGCCCCTGTCAGCCCGGCTCCCAGAGAGGCAGTTTTGCTGCGGCAGTAAAGCTTCCTCCCCAGGAATGGAGCCGGCAGTGAAGCCCCCTCCCTGGGAGCAGAGCTGGCAGACCTTGCCTGCCCAGCTCCCTGGGGAAGCAGCTTCGCTGACTGTAATTGACACCATTAACCCATAAGCACTCAAACATCCCTATTTAGGGCTTCATTAATTCCTATTCAGGGGAGTGGAAAGATTCCTCTTTCTGTCAGTTTTATTTTCTATGGGTTTGTACCACCTGTGTCTAGAAATTCAGTGCAAAGTTTAGTTGAAATTGCTAACTTTCAGCTGGCTTCTCATGAAAATTGTGTAGATCGGTTAATCTCACATCCTTTTGGTATGAATCCAAAAATCTAGTCAAGTCTACTCTCAAGTCCCAAATGCTCTGACAAATCTAGGCTAAGTTTTGAGCTTATATCCAAACTTAGTAAGACAGGGTTTTACTTGACATGTAGTCTTGTTACAAACACGTTGCACAGCTGTTGGGATAGTAATACTGCATAGGCTAGGAACTGATCCTGTTATTGGAGATATGGCTGGGCAGCCTGCCAGTCCAGCTGTTTGTTTGCATGCATGTGCACAGCAGCTGATTTTTATAAGCTGGTTCTGGGAGGGACTGAGTCCTGTGGGTGCCTAGCGAAATGCAGCAATACTGAACTACCTTATTCTTCAGTCTGCTTGCCTGCTTTCACTTAATTGATGACAACCCATTCTTGGAAGCTTTCAGACTTCTCTGGGGTTTTTTTTCCCCTTTCCCCTGATGACAACCCATTCTTGGAAGCTTTCAGACTTCTCTGTTTTTTTTTCCCTTTCCCCTGTTTTTTTTCCCTTTCCTCCAGTTGTGTGTCCATATTGCAGATACTCCTTTCCTCACACATGGAAAAAACATCTCTAAGTAAAGTATGGCCATCAGACTGAAATGATGGTCCACTTTTCTCTATTGTCGTCTGTAATACAGAAACCTTTATGTTCCCTCTAGGTTTTAAAATCTATAAAGAGCATTTCTGTCAGGTACCTTCTCTTCCAGCTTTCTTCAACCAGTGATTCATTGAAACAACAAACTCAGGCTTGTTACTCTCCTGGTAAGTCACCTGTTTAAAAAAAAAAAGAGAGAAAAGTGCTCTTTAGCTCTGAATACTTTAGGACATCTGAATACACTGAAGTTCTTTCTGGCCTGATGAGACCAGTAATGCTGAAAGGGTCTCACTTTGGCTAGACAACAGGTAAGGATTTGTGAAGTTGGCTAGACAACAGGTAAGGATTTGTGAAGTTGTTTGCCATTTTTGATTGAAGCTTGAGGGCTGGAGCAAAAGATTTGATTTTTAATAAATTGGGAGTTTTACAGAAGCATTTGTGTCAGTCAGTTGTAACTGACTTGGTTTTAGAAAAGTACTAAAAAGTGGGGCATATTTTCTGCTACTTCCCCTAATTACAGTTTTGAAGGTGACTAGAATATTCTTGTGCAGTTTGGGAGACTTACAATTTAATGGCAAATCCTGGCTTCAGTTAATTGTTAGACTTAAGAGGAAAGGCCCATTTCATTATCTCATAGCCCATCAGCTGAGATATTGAAGTACTGGCAGTGATTGCTTCCTGGAAAGGCCCATTTCATTATCTCATAGCCCATCAGCTGAGATATTGAAGTACTGGCAATGATTGCTTCCTGGTTTAAAAAAACAAACAAACTCACTCCACCAACCTCCTGCCCTTCTTCATTCATTTGAAAAAAAAATCCAAATGAACAGTAAGTTCCAAAGAAGACTACGCTGGATATCTAGAGCAGCCATTGGATGGATGTAAGGCAAAAAGTTGTGATTCCTACACAAATCATTCACTAAAACAAGCTGAAAAGCTAATGCCAAATCTTCTGCTAGATCTAGCAGCATAGATTATTTATAGAAAGTGATTAATTTACATGATTAAAATCTCATCAATTGTTTGAACAAATAGAATTTTCACATATTTAGATATTACAATATTCAACACAGAATTGTAGTGCATTATGGCTAGGAACAGCTGCTTTACTAATTATAATTACAATCTCTTGTTGAATAATTTTTTTTTTTTAAATGTAATGGGAGTATAAACATGGACCAATATTTGTAAGAGTTGTTGCTTTATAAACATGATGCCATGGATTAAAGCACTAGGCATTTATTGATGTCTGTCATTCAGACAAGACATTTTTTTAAATATAACGAAATAGCTCCTTTCTCTCATGCACCTAGACTGATGCCTGTTTGCCCTCTGAATATTTATTATGCAATCATCTTAAAGACTTCATTTGTGTATATCTAGCTAGCAATTTGTAATGTGACTATTTAAGCAGAACTTAATGAAAAGGCTAAACAAAATGTTAATGTGATTAAGGAATATGCACTCCCTTTTAAGTGGGCATTTCAATTTAAAATAAATAAAACCCAGTTACATGGTGAAACAGTGCAGAGATCTCATTTTCATCAGTCAAGGTTCATTCTTATTCAAAAAGCGACAGATTTCTCTTGAGAAAACCAAAAGCAGCAATCTTCTCTTTCCAGTCAAACAAGGCAGATGTACATAATTAAGAGTCCACAAACAGATCACTTTTCCAAAGTTCAGAGATCTCTCTATCATATTTTATGGATAAAATGCCTTTTGAGATGGTGGTTGTTTTTCAGTAGTCTCTCTGACATGATCAGTAATTTTATTTAAAAAATTAAATCACAATTAATTATTACTAGGAGAGAATTCTAAATGCATTATAAAAACTTTGTATATATACTTATTTGTATGTATAAATTGTTTTAACAATCCAGGAACTTGACTGCAGACATATCATCTTGTGTTTTCCTGTCCACTCTCATAAAACTAAGCAGTATGAACCTCGTTTAATTTTTGAATAGATGTCATCATACTCCAGTGGTAGGTGGTGCAGCTGTTTCAACAGGCGGCACTCGTCCCACTTGTCTATGCTGCAGTCATGGACTATGATCGCAGCCCCGGTAGACATACCCAACTTACCTTTCATGTAGCTAGCTTGGGTACCAAAGCAGTGAAGCAATGGCAGGGTGTGGAGTGTTCAAGCCCTCCAGTATCCTACAGAATCCTACATGGGGCTATCCCACATGTCAGTGCCTGCTTCTGGAACTTAACCTAGCTAGATGAAAGCGAGCTCCAGTATGTTGATTTAAGCTGCAATGACACCCTCTGACTCCATTATAGACCTACTTTTAATAATGAATCAAAGCCTGGTGTAGTGCTGAACACAGCTGTTTGGAGATTTCACCTTTGCAGTCAGCATCAAGGCCACTTGTGATGATTGAAAATCACTTGGAACTTTTCAGTATCCTACTCAAATTCCAACTCATATGACAGGTAACGTATGGAACAATCTATAATTGGATTTCCTCATCCTGTGTATCCACTGAAATAAGTTGGCATTCACCCATGCACATCTTTTGTTGCTGTGTACAGGACAGAGAACCAGATTTTTCCTGCTGGATCACATCATTGGTTTCTCAGTTTTGGTATCCTGTACCACTAAATGCCATCCTGTACCAGTTTTGGTATCCTGTACCACTAAAAGCGCAAAAGTCAGCAATTAGAGCTGACCGAACATTTTCTGACAAATGTTTTTCCAGTGGAAAATGCCAGTTCATTGAAATAAAAATGTTCTACAGAAACATGTCGATTTTGATGAAATTTCGCTCGGAAAAAATGGAGCTTTTGATAAGGGTCAAACATTCAATTTCAAGTTTATTAGAATGGAACATTTTGATTTTTAATTTTGAAATGACTTTGTATTATAAAATAATGTAATTTAAAATACAAGTCAAAATAGAAATTGAAATAAAACAGGCTGACTGACCTAAAGCAAATTTTAAAGAAACAGAAAACTTCATGTCATGGGAAATTTCAAAGTTTTGGGGTTTTTGTTCAGCTTCCCAAAGATTGTTGCCTAAAATGTCAAAATTTCACATGGAACAGAAATTCCTGGACAATTCTATCAACAATGCATCTGACCAATGGGCTTTGAATCTAATCACCAAAGTAGTTTCCACAGGGAAGAGTTCATGCAGATTTTTCATTAAGGTGGCCCTTTTCCAATTACACAAATGAGTCTTAATTCCTACTTTGCTGATATATGGTCCAGCTCCTCAACTAGGTGACTAAGTAAAAGAATGCATTATTTGTCTTTTTTTGCAACAGGAGTGCAAGCCACATATGGCCCTGCCATTGGCCTTTGACCACTTATTCAAGATTTTCCCAAACGTCCCTCTTCCTGCTCGGGAGTACAGGCTTAAGGAACTCTCCAGTTATCTAAGACACACACAAAATAACCATAGATAATTTCTTGTTTCTTTATTGCTTAGAAAAATTCGTTGCTTTCTGGAGCCCTTTTTAAGCATTTTAACTGCTAAGAGTAGTCATCCAGTCAATTTAATGGGCTCAGAGAAGGGAAAATTAGCCTGCATGTTAGCTTCTCTGAAGTTATTCTGCTTGATTCCCTGCTTGCCCACTCAACTTCCACTGAGAGTTATGAAAAGCTTTTACTTCCCTACTCTGTTTCTAATCATACTATCATATCAATATATATTTCTGGCATAAACTATTCATTGGATATTAGCAGCACTTTCCTTCTGAAACACTGAGAGTTTGTTCATGATACTCACCTACCTGGACCAAAAAAAGCTTGAGCAAGAACTCCACTAGCTCCTCATCTCTGACTAAAAGCAATAAGACTCAAATCAGGAATTCGGTCAAATTTTATCTTCAGAGAAGATTAATAGTTCCTTCCCATCATTTGATCAAATACACTACTCCTCCTGCTTTGTTTAGGTTGCCAAGAAACGTAAGTTTACTACATGACAGTGTTTCCTTTATTTAGCACAAGAAAGAATGCAAATACCAGATGATAAATACCATAATGCAGTAAATCACTTCACTTTTATTTTAGTGGCAACATCTTTTTCTTCTTCCCTGCAGAAAGATGGCTTCAAAGAACCCATATCAGAAGGCAAAACAGAATAAAGAGGTGTCTCTTCTGAACCACAAAGGTGAACTTTCTAGGGCTCTGAATTCTTACTCTTGTTATTTTTAGTCTCTCTTGGGTGTTTGCTCACTTCTCAAATTTATTGGAAATGGGTGTATATAATATAAAATATTAAAAGCAAATCAAACACCTACTCTATAAAATATATTCTAATTGCTTCTACATCAAGTTTAGATTCCTTCAAGTTGATTGAAAGTTTGTTTCATGACTTGCAAAGACAGATTTACCTAACTGGCAATATTGACGTTCTGTTAGTGTCAAAGACCTATATCTTATCTCTTTAGAATGCCAACCAGCATAGTATCTGGCTGCTTTTAGTCTTTTGTGTTTACATCTAGAGCAGCATCATTTAGCCTCACTGTAATGAGACAGACCCAAAAACATAGTGTAAATCAGAAAGTCCTGGGATTCTGAGTTAGGACTTTATAATGGAGTATCACTCACTTTTGAGAAGGAAGTTCTATATATACTGGATAAGAGTTACAAGCACTTTGACAGGGGATTGGTGGTAAACCTTATCCAACACTATGATTTTAAGTGGTAAGTGATACATCATTCTTTTCTTTACCATCTACAGATTGCAACACCTGACAGGCATCTCTTGCTGTCAAGATTTCTACCTTTGCCTGGCAATTCTAGCCCTGGAGATAGATGTATCAGAATTTACAAGGTAAGACATTCTGACACACAGTAAAGTTGAAACAATTACAATGTTAGTAATAGGTAGGTAGCTCACCTCAAGAGGATGCAAAGATATGATCAGTGAAGAGATTGGCACCAAAGGCCTTTGCAAAACTGAGATTTGTTATTAGTTTATAGCATATAAGGGGCACTATTACACACTGCTCAGAGTAGATCACACAATCTAACAACAGAGTAAACAGAGGATAGGAAAATGTGAAGAATAATAGGCAATTTCTATACAAATCAACTTGATTCACTGTAAACAAAAAAAATGGGTCTTTAAGAAGGACTTAAATACAAGAAGGATGTAGGGAACAAACTTGTTGAGAGTCTCTGGGTTAGGTTAAAAGGGGTAAAAAAAAGCAAGAGTGATGTCATGCTAAGGATATACTACAGACCACCTATCCAGGCAGCAGAAGTGGGTGAGGCTTTTTTTAAACTAACAAAATCATTCAAAGCACACGATTTGGTGGTGATGGGGGACTTCAACTATCCAGACATATGTTAGGAAACTAACACAGCAGGGCACAAACTATTCAGTAAGTTCTTGAACTGAATTGAAGACAAATTTCAGAAAGTTGGAAAAGCTACATAGGGGGAAGCTGTTCTAGATTTGATTTTAACAAATAGGGAGGACCTGGTTGAGAAATTAGAAAGTGGAAAGCAGCTTGGGTGAAAGTGATCGTGAAATCCTAGAGTTCATGATGCTAAGGAAGAAAGGAGAACAGCAAAATAGAGACAATGGATTTCAGGAAGGCAGATTTTAATAAACTCAGAGCTGGTAGGTAAGGTCCCATGGGAAGTAATACTAAGAGGAAAAATAACGAAAAGGGTTAGCAGCTTTTCAAAGGGACATTATTAAGGGCCCAAAAGCAAACTTTTCTGTTGCGTCGGAAAGATAGAAAGTATGGCAAAAGACTACCATGGCTTAACCAGGAGAGCTTGCATGATCTAAAAATCAAAAAGGAGTCCTATAAAAATGGAAACTAGGTCAAATTACAAAGGATGAAAATAAGCAAACAACACAGGTATGCAGGGGGCAAGATTAGAAAGGCAAAGGCACAAAAAGAACTCAATCTAGCTAGAAACAGACATTCTATCAATATATTAGAAGCAAGAGGAAGATGAAGGACAGAGTAGGTCCATTGCTCATTGAAGACGGAGAAACAACAAGAAGAAACTTGGAAATAGCAGATGTGCTTAATGACGTCTTTGTTTTGGTCTTCACCAAAAAGTTTGATGATGAAGGGATGCCTAACATAGTGAATGCTAGTGGAAATGGTGTAGGTTTCAATGTTAAAATTTTTAAAAAGTTAAAAATTACTTAGAAAAGTTAGATGTCTGCAAGTCATGAGGGCCTGCTGAAATGCATCCTAGAATACTCAAGGAGCTGTTAGGCTCAGATACCTCCTCTATCATCTTTGAAAAATCATGGAAGTCAGGAGAGATTCTGGAAGACTGGAAAAGGGCAAATACAGTGCCCATCTATAAAGATAGAAATAACAACAACCCAGGAAACTATAGACTAGTTATTTAATTTCTGCACCAGGAAAAATAATGGAGCAGGTAATTAAGGAATTAATCTTCAAACATCTGGAAGAAAATAAGGTGCTAGGGAACAGCCAGCATGGATTTGTAAAGATCAAATCATGTCAAACTAATCCGATACCTTTCTTTGATAGGAGAACAAGTCTTGTGGGTAAGGGGGAAGCAGTGGATGTTATATACCTAGATTTTAGTAAGGCATTTATACTGTCTCGCATGACCACCTTTTCAATAAACTAGGCAAATACAATTTAGATGGAGCTATTATACTATAAGATGGGTGCATAAGTGGCTGGATAACCCTTCTCAGAGAGTAGTTATTAGCCGTTCACAATCATGCTGGAACGGCATAACAAGTGGGGTTTCACAGGGGTACGCTTAATAAGTTTGCAGATGATTCCAAGCTGGGAGGGCTTGCAACTGCTTTGGAGGATAGGGTCATAATTCTAAATGGTCTGGTGTTAATAGGATGAAGTTTAATAAGGACAAATGAAAATTACTCCACTTCGGAAGGAACAATCCATTTCACACATACAGAATGGGAAGTGAACGTCTAAGACGGAGAACTGCAGAAAGGAATCTAGGGGTCATAGTGGACCACAAACTAAATAAGTCAACAATGTGATACTGTTGCAAAAAAAGGCAATCATGATTCTGGGATGCATTAACAGGAGTGTTGTGAGCAAGACATGAAAAATCATTCTTCCACTCTACTCTGCACTGATTAGGCCTCGATTGGAGTATTGTGTCCAGTTCTGGGCACCACATTTCAGAAAAGATGTGGAGAAATTGGAGACGGTCAACAAAAATGATTAAAGGTCTAGAAAACATGAATTAAGAGGGAAGGCTGTAGGAATTGGGCTTGTTTAATTTGGAAAAGAGAAGACTGAGAGGGGACATGATAGCGGTTTTCAAGTATCTAAAAGGGTATCACAGGGAGGAGAGGGGAAATTGTTCTCCTTGGCCTCTGAGGATAGGACAAGGAGCAATGGACTTAAACTGCAACAGGGGAGGTTTATGTTGGACATTAGGAAAAACTTCCTAACTGTCAGGGTGGCTAAACAATAAGTTGCTTGGAAGGCTGTGGAATCTCTATCACTGGAGATATTTAAGAGCAGATTGGATAGACATCTATCAGGGATGATTTAGATGCTGCTTGGTCCTGCTGTGAGGGGCAGGGGACTGGACTCAATGACCTCTCGAGGTCCCTTCCAGTTCTAGTATTCTATGGACAAAGTGAAGGCTCTATGGATGAGTTCAGGAAGATCGTAACTAATGTTGTACAAATAACATATTTGACTCACTGGCAATTCCAAAAAATCGTGAGAAATTGTAATAAACGCTTTGTTTTTACATATTTCCTTTTGATTTTAAGCTTTCTTAAGGTTTTTTTTTATAATTAAAGGAAATTTTGAATAAAGCAATCAAAAGGTTTCCATTTTTAAATGTTGAAATGAAACATTTGGATTTGGGGGAAGGAATTTTTTTCTGACAATTTGATGAACTCTGCATGAATTTGTAAAATGTTTCAGCTCCTGCAAACCTGCATTTGTTGCTTGAAAAAAGTTTTGATCAGAAAATTTTGCCCAGGTCTAAGTGTACTATGTATCAGAGGCTGTATGGAAGAAGCCACAGAGGGATTTAAATTTCTGCTATCAAAGAAAATGGATTGCTTTCAGTAGCTCTAAAACCCAGGTCTTCTGCCTAGGCCATGCAAGGGGCCTGTTCTAGAAAAGTTATACTATGAAAGCTACTTACAGAACAGGTGTGGGTATGTGTCTTGTGTGGCACAGTCTGCATCTTCTGACTTTCAGCTGCAACATTTTTCATTTTCTCAATAGTTCTGCCGCCTGTTATGTAGTGGTGAAAAAATAGGCTGAAAAACCAGCAGGGAATTTGAAACATGGAAGATTTATATTTTAGGGAAGCAAATGAGGTCTCTGGGGAGTGATTTAGGGTTATATTCACCATTTTCACTGGCATCTTTTATCCAGTTCTGAGCTGCCTGATGTGCCTTTGAAGGCCCACAGTGCATATTTTGATACACCTGTAAAAAGATAGCAACAAATCATTGCTCCTTTTACCAACACTGCCAATCTGAGCACATCATAATACATCACTTGGAAGTACTTATATTCAGATATACCATGTGATGCTGTCCTAACACTTCACAGAGCAACAGCAAACATAAATGAGAGTACTGCAGTGACATGTGAAAACAAGCAGATCTACTATAACCAGGCCTGCTATATTAGAGGGGCTTGATTTTAAGAAGAGCTGCCTACTCACACAACTCCAGCTGACATCAGTAGGAGCAATGGATGGCTAGCACTTACAAAAATCAGGCCCACAGCATCTGGTTATGATTAGTGGCTCTAGCTTCCTGAAGAGGGTTTGTGTGTAGTTCAGCATGCACAATGAGGATAGGTTTGTTGATCATATGCCTCAATGCCATTCAACAAATGCAGGCTAACATTTAGGGATCAATCCTTCTCCAAAGGAAGTCAATGTCAAAAGTTCCATTGACTTCAGTGGTGCAATATCTTGCTCTTAAAAAGGAGTTACAAAATTCAGTTAATGAGGAGTATCTTCAAACTTCCAAGTCCATTTCCTAATGGCTAGTTAGACTCCAAACAATCAAAAATGCAATGCTAAGACAGGCCAGAGAGGAAAAAACACAACAGTATTTAAGAGTGCTAAAACATTATACCTATTTAAAATGGGAGCTATTCAAAGAAGGCTCTCCAATGTTTTGACTTCCAATAGGTCATGTTCACAAGTCAGTGACCATAGAAGCCCTTAACTTGTCTTTGACACATACCCAGTTCTTTAACTTTTTCCTTGCAAGTTTTATTTTCCAAACCTTGTATTTTTGTTGCTTTCTCCTATATTCTCTCTCCAGTTTGCCTGAAATGGGCTGTCCCATAATGAACGCATTTGTCGAACTGAAGTCAAAAGTGTTCTACATGGATTGGCTTAACTACCCCACTTGCTTTGTGTGTTTTTCCCATCATAACATCTAATCTTCTTTAAGTAGGAGCAGGTGTGCGTTCCATGTGGGCACGTGCTGTGCACCAGAGCTGGAGAACTTTGCCTAGCAGCACCTGGCTGTAGCCCTTCCCCGGCTAGATAAATGAGTCAGAGATGTGTGGTGTCTTCACCTCACACATCTGCTCTGTTCTCCGAGACCTTTGCTTGGATATAGTAATGGTGGTGGTGGTAGTAGTATCTTTGATGTAGTTTGCTAGTGTTAGTAAAGTAGTTGGCTGCCCTGTGTGATGCCCACACCAGGGTTCAAGCATTGTACATCATGCAGGGGAGCCATCCCTAACAGCAACAACCACCCAAGGTGCTTGGGGTGCCTCAAGGACATGTTAGAGCACAATGCTCCATCTGCAAGTCATCCACAAACAGGCTCAGGGGACAAGATACTGTGGTTGAAGCAGGGACAGCTATGCTAGCCACTGCTTGGATGGTCCCTGGCATCAGTCCTGGGCCAGCAGAAGCAGCCACAGTCCCCAACAGCGGTCCTTAGCCAGCCTGCCAGAGGCAGTTGCATCTGCTGGCCTCAACAGCAGTCCCTGGGCAGCTGGCAGGAACAACCATGGTCCGTGGCCCCAACAGCATTCCTCTGGTGACTGTCTGGAACAACTGCAGCTGCCTAGCAGACGTCCTCACACATCTGGCCAAAGCATCCGTTGTCCATGGTTCCAGATATACCAACCCAGCAACAGTCCCCCAACCCTCCTACCCTCCAAGATTTAGTCACAGGTTTTTTAGTATAAGTCATGGCAGGTCATGGCTGTAACCTGTTTACTAAAAATACCCATGGCAAAAATGAAACCTTAGCAATGAGATTTACTTCAGGTGCAAAGCCCTCATCTGATCAGCAGTCACCTTTGAATCTGGCAAGTGTTGTCACTTCAGGCTTTTGGCATCTTCCCCAAGAGGAAGAGATGTCATTCATCCTTCTCTGGTTCAGCAAGGAAGAGGTGCTATAAAATGAGTCAGGACTATTGCAGGTCTCTGGGAGACTCCTAGGAGAAGTGCTGACTCTTCTGGCATGTGGGTTGGAAGAGTTCTGTTCAACCACCCCCACAATATCATGCCATATGCAGGGAGGGCCTGTAACGCTGACTGGTTCCAGCTATGGGACATCCATTAAGTCCTGTACTGTCAACACTGGAACATGAGCCAACTATGTCAAAGTCAATGACATACCAGATAGCGTCGGACCTTTTTTGCCTGTCAATCCTAGACTCTTATTCAGGAGTTCTCCAGTGCTATGACTTTTACCGGCTTGTCCTCCATTATGCCTCTTGCACTTTCTGGCCATGTTCCAGAGCTGCAAGGTCTGCCAGCACTGCAGCTCACACCACAAGGGCTGCAAACTATGGCATTAAACCTGGGCCTGAATCCCCTTAGTGTTGTGCATCCGTGGGTCTTGTCATTATCATGATGGCAAATTCCATCATCAGGTTTGGTACTGGCCTTGGTGC